GCAGTATCATAATCGAGTGTAGGGGTCGGGTGTAACTTTCCTGTTTTGCCCATCAATCTCCAAGGTCCAGGGCAATACTGGAAATCTGGTCCAGTTCAAAGATTCAATTAATCCTACACTTTATGTGCCTAGGGTCTCACCCTAGCAGCTGAGACATGCCACCCCAACCGACTTGGTGGCACCACAGTGTCAGCCTTATCAGGATAGGTCTCCCTAGCCGTTCTTAAAGCCTCACTTGCGATTTCATCTAAAGAAACCCATCCAACAAATCTCATGTGACTATAGTCTATCATCGCTATATATGCTTACGGTTTCAATTTATCTCCCACTTCCATTTCTTAGGGATTTGCATAAACAACATGGGACTGATTCATCCGGACTCCTTTAAGGGACTGATTCATCTCCGACTTCAATGGAGTTTCTACTGGAGCATTTGTTGTACCTGTTCTTGGCTGTTGCCGCTCATGCATATTTGGTTGTTCTCAGATGCATCCGTCACCGATACCCACAACCCCCTTTGCCCCCTGGAAGCTTTGGGTGGCCAATTCTCGGCGAAACCTTGGTTATCCAACGCTTAAACCGGTCTGGGGATCCATTCGCTTTCGTAAGGCAGAGGAGGCAGAGGTACAACAGAGACATATTCAAAACATCACTTCTTGGAGAGAAAACGGTGGTTTTGTGCGGTTCCGAGGGGAACAAGCTCATGTTCACAGGCGAGAAGCGATTGCTGTTGACATGGTGGCCCCCTTCTCTGAAGAAGTTGTTCGGCGATGCCTTCTTTACAGCTCCCTATGAGAAGGCGATCCATACCCGGAAGCTGATCACGTCTTTTCTGAACCAGGAGGTGATGTACTAGCTCATGGAAAGGTTCGACAGGACGTGCAGAGAGTGCTTCAGAGATGATTGGATAGGGAAGAAGGAGGTGAAGGCCTTCCCGTTGATCAAGAAGTACGCCTTCGCCATAGCCTAAGATGTGTTTGCGAGCATGGATGACCCCAGTTGGCAATCCCCGAAGAGTTCAACGTGTTGCTCAAAGGCATGTTTCAGCTTCCCATCTATTTTCTGGGCACAAGGCACTACAAGGCGGTGAAATCTGCGGCTAGTTTACGCCGAGAGCTGATCAAGGTGATTGAAAGCAAGCGGAGGAGCGGGACGATGAACGAGTCATTGTCAGAAGATCTGATCTCGCATTTGATGAAGGGGAGAGACGAGAACGGGAAGATGTTGAGCGACGAGGAGATTGCAGACAACGTTATACTAGTCATGGATGCCGGGCACAACACCAGCAGTTCTACCATGATGATGCTGATCAAATACTTGGCTCGCATGTATGTTCTTCTTCTGTAATTTGTCTCTTAGTAGAGCATTGGATTTCTTGGGTATCTATATTGGGTCTAACATTGAATTGTTGTTTGGGAGAGCAAAGGGAAATAGAATTGCAGAGGAGACCCAGAGAACCACTGAACAAGGATGACATCCAGAAGATGACATATTCTTGGAACGTGGTGGATGAAGTACTCAGGCTTACACCTCCAATTCAAGGAAATTTTAGAAAGGCCATAGTAGACTTCCCGTATGCTGGATTTTCAATCCCTAAAGATTGGAAGGTAAGTTCTAAGAATAGATGGATGAGAGAATCACAATCAGTTGTAAATTGTAATCACTTGGATTCTTCGGGGTTGGTGGAGTGCAACTTCAACGCATAAGGAAGCAGAATATTTTCCAAATCCAGAGAAGTTCGACCCATTGAGGTTAGAGAGAGACATCCCAATTCCCTATATATACGTTTATTCCCTTTGGAGGAGGCCCAGAATGTGACCTGGTAGAGAGTTTGCTCGAATTGAAATTCTGGTTTTCTTATACAATCTAGTACGAGAGTTTAGATGGGAGCTTATGTTTCCAGATGAAGTAATCGCTGTAGAGCCAATGCCTACATCATCTAAAGGGCTTCCTATCTACCTTTATCCTCACACCTCTTCATGAAGGATGAAAGATCATTTATATATATATTACAGGTACTATCCTCCAACTTCCCCTGTGACTAGTTGCAGAACCATGTCATGGGTCTATCTTCGTTCTTCAATAGTTCTGTGGATGCTTGTTCTTGGACCTAATAAGAGATGTACTTTATATATATATATATATACACCACTCATCACTTTCGATACCTAGCCTAAATTGCAGCAGGTCCAATTCCCAAGAACAAATTCAGAAAGTTGAGATTAGTTCCAACAGTTTGGGTGTTATTACGAATACTTGTTGAGGAGACCGGAACTGCTCCTCACAGATGGCGCCTCACTGGCGCCTCACAAGCACATCCTGCCTTGCATTAGGAACATCTCCCGTACTTATTAATGAATATTCATAGGAGATGTTCCCAATGCATGGTGGATGTGCATGTTAGGCACCCATTTGTGAGGAGCAGATGCCGTCACACTCGTTGAGTGCAACATTTAGGTTATGTTTGTTTTGAAAGAAAAGGTAGGGAAGGAAAAGGAAAGGAAGGGAAACATGTACAAACCATGTATAGGTTTTCCTGCCTTTCCCTTCCTTTCCCTACCTTTTCCTTCAAACCAAACACAGCCTTAAGGCCCAGGATGTATCTTCTGTAAACAGTTTATCTGTAATTTTGTGTGGGCCTTGGATTCGCACCTACTCAAAATTTAGGGTCCACTTGGTTTACAGCCAGAATCGGAATTGGAATTGAAATTGAAATCCCTTGGAATCGGAATTGGAATGCTCTATTCCCATAATCTGTTTGGTTCAAACAGGAATCAGATTGGGAATTAGAATAAGCTGGAGTGGGTTTTCATTTCCAAGGGATGGGGAGGGAATGGCCATTCCCTCAAAACGGGGAATGCCATTCCAGCAGGAATGGGAATGGGATTCCAATTCCTCCCAACCAAGCAGTTGGCGATTCTATTCCAAAGTGTACACCATCATCATCATCATCTAAGCGTAAGCCTTGTCCCAACAACATGGGATCGGTTACATAAATCCTTTTTCTAGGGGTGCAAGTCGGGCAGGTTGGGCCAAGTTTATGGTCAACCCAAGCCCAGCCCTAAAACTTGGGCTTAAGGCCCGAGCCCGAGGTCAAGTCCGATTTTCCCAACCCGAGCCCAGCTTGCACTGTAATTTGATGCACTCGGGTTGGGCTCAAGCCCGGGCTCGGGTTGGTCAATGAACCCACTCTACAATTATACATATATAAATGTATTTATGCAAATATATATATATATATATATATATACATATATTTATGTATATATGTAAATATGTATACAAATGTTATATATACAAATATGTACATATATGTAAATATGTATGCAACATTTATATATATATACCCATATGTATGTATAAATGGATATAGATGGGCCAGGTTCAGGCTACCTAAGGGATAGGCCCAAACCCAACTTCTTGAGCTCGAGCCCACCCTGAGAATGGAAAATCCAAACCCAGCCCATGTAAAATTCCAGGCTGGGCCGGTTTGGGCTCGGGCCCAGCCCGCCCAAGTTACACCCCTACCTGTTTCTCCATCTGTCCTGTTCGGTCCCATAAATGCATGTGGATCCACCTAAGGCTAGGACTTCACACGAGTAACCTGAATGGCTTCCTTCTTTTCAGTCCCATAAATGGGGTCTAACCATTCTTCTTTGCTAGAAAAGAGCTAATGATGCCTCCTTAGTGGCGCGATCCTTCCCTATTAAGAGGGGGCTTTCTTCACCATGTGGGAAGGGCCCTCAACTCCATAGCCTCAGGTTTTTTTTTTTTTCAGCACAAACCTCATTTATAATTTAAACCAGTGTAAATGCATTGGAGTGCAAATAGGCTGAGTGTAAACTCTGGTTTTCTTGGGCTTCAAATTTGACTGTCTTATTTGTTTGTTAAGCTCAGTTTGGAAGGAGTACAAATACAAATTTATATAGTGCAAAACCTTATATTAATGGTGATTGGAAATGCATGTATAAGAAAATATATTGTAAATTATACTTCATAAAATGAAGGTGAGCCAGAAGTCTTACATAATGAAACTAGAGTACTAGACACAAATTAGTACAAGAGGAAATTGGATCCTAGAGACAAGAAGACCATTGAAAATATAACAGATAAAAGTGTAACCCAAGTTGGAATTCGCCCACTATCCTTCCTTAGAAACATTCCTTCAATTATACAGTAACTGATTCCTAAGATGAAGAAAGACAAGGAAACATGTCCAAACATCTCTCTGTAACTAGCTTCGAGTATCACTCTTCCTAAACCACCAATGAAGCACACCTTGTTTAGGGTGACTAGGGTGACCAATAATATAAGAAACAATGAAGCATCTTCAAAGCTGAATATCCCCTTATTGTATCTTTCAACTTGTTCCTTTCTAACAATTTTACTTGTAAGAAAGAAATTTGCCTCCTTACCAATATGCTTCATAAGAACATCAAGAAATGCAAAGAACTTGATTGTAACAGATTTGATTGCCCATAATCTAAGTTCATTCCACCATGTATTCAAGGATGCACCCGAGACGAGTACTTCTAATAAATATTGAGAAAGGGAAGACACATACACAATGGCAAACACAACAAACCATGGACTTGAAACCTGTCATAAATGTCAGAAGAAAAATTGGTTAAAACCACACATACACTTCAGTTATGCAATTATTAGACAACAAATAGACTACAATAATTTACTAAAAGGATTTTTCCTCGATCGGGAAAAATAGGAATTCTAGAATAAGGAGACCCTACTGATACTGTTATTATTCTAACAACTGATTTGCTAACCAAGTTGTTTAATGAAGAAACCTAAATGATATGGACCATGGAATTGAATCTGCTCAATCCATTTGGTTTCCTGTCTGACAAACAGTTTGCAGAACCTTTTTATTATTATCTGAGAATGGATAGATAGTTAATGCTTGATACATTAACTATTAGAATAATCAGCAATAGTATAAATGTATAATTCTTACTAAATTGTTACCTTTGGGTACAGAGAGATGCCATTAAAGAGACATAGCTGAGGGATGGTAGCGTAGCACAGCATTGGGAAGGAATAGAGACAGTAGAATGCAAGATAGGCATAACACATGCTCTGAGGAATCGACATTGTTGATACACCATAGGTAAGAGGGCAGAACCTCGAGAGACCTACTTCAAACAAACCAGTGTACCATCTCATGCTCTGCACCATTGTATCATTAAAGCTAATAGTTGCAGCCCCCAAGAAAGATGGTTTTGGAGGATAATAGTAGATTGACTTCCATCCTTTGCAGTGCAGCCTGAACCCAGTAAAGTAATCTTCCACCAAGGAATGATATTGAAAACCCATCTGCCATAGAAGCAACAAGCAAAACAAAAGATTTCTCAATTCAGGTACTATAATGTATAATATGTTTGGATGTTAAATTTCCTTAATGCTTGGCTTGTCACTTGCCTCTTTACCCCATTGAGTGTGTTTCTCATAGTTGCATGAAGCCAAAAGTCGAGCTTCTGACAGCAGTTCGCTTGATGCATCTTGGCAAAATTAAATTTGTTTTTGGTGTGTAATGAAGTGATGAACATGTTGGAGGGACCAAAAGAAGTTCTAAGTTTAGGGAGATCAATATCTGAATAACAATTTCAGAGTTACTATGCAAACTGATTACTAGTTCCCTAATTATTTTCAATGTTAGAATACTTTGAATAGATAACAGAGCTTTGGTAGTTCTACCTACAAGCATTTTTACCTCTTTCCAATGAGCTGCCAATGCCATATAATGCCTCTCTCTTTATGTAAAACCCTGTACCTGATAATATTGGTCCTTGAAGCCCATCCAGACCTGGCCACATTACCTAAAGACAACACAATTGAAAGACTGTTAACACAACCAGGGAAGTAAGTATTCATCGAATTGCTTGTTTTATTTGTAACTTACCATGACTATATATTCTTACCTTAAATGCTGATCTTAGTTGTCCATCATAGATATCGTTCTTACTGATATTATAGAACATTTGAGGGAACTGAACGAAGGCCAAAGATTGAGTGATCTTGTGATCAAGGTGGAAACACATAGCTTGTCGAGCAGAAGTGGGGTCATTACAGTACATGTCACAATCTAACACCAATATGTAGGGGGCGTTGCTCATTATGCCTGATACCCGAAGCTGCAATGACAGTGGTGATTCTAGTCATGAATCATCCATATGAGAGAGAGAGAGAGAGAGAGAGAGAGAGCACATACAAGAACATTGAGAGCGCCAGCCTTAAAATTGTGGGGATGATTTGGCCTCTTTTCACGAGAAACATAGACAAGAAGGGGGATGTTATCTTCTCGATTACCGGATGCATCACCAAGGATCACCTATAAAATAAAGAGAATATATACAAAGACATCATGAAACTTTTTATGAAACAAACTCTTCACAATGCGCAATTCTTTTAATCTCAAGAAAATTTTACAAACAGCCTCTTAATTGCATTCCCTGATTCATAATCCAGCAATTCTTGTCATCTATTATCCTTACACAAGAAAATTTTACAAGCAGAAAGTTGCGGATGGATAGAACAATTTAAACTATAGGTTGTGTTTGGTGTGACAAAAAAACGGCTAAGAGATAAAGAGAAAAAAGTTAAGGCCTTAAGGTTGTATTTGGTTTGAAATAAAAGGTAGGGAAAGGCAGGGAAACCTATACAAGGTTTGTACAGGTTTCCCTACCATTTCCTACTGTTTCTTTCAAACCAAACACAGCCTAAGGGAATGTTTCTTAAGAACTCTCTCTCTCTTTCTCTCTCTCTCACATTGGGCCTTGCGTGTTTGACCTAACCCATCTAAAACTGTGTTCAACTAGTTTTATAGATGGATCAGGCTGGATTTGCTAGGCCAGGTTGCTCATTGCCATCTTTTGCCTAAGGATATATTGAAGAATTAACTGAAAAGAGAGAAAGGAAAACAGGCACACACACGTGTATATATATATATATATATAAAACTGATATTATAAGGGTAAGTTATAGATTACCACCCTGTACTTTTGGAGATAGTGATTTTTAGCCCCTCAAACTTTCATTTGTGACAAAGACCGCCCTGAACTTTTAGATTCCCACTCTGTCCCTCTGTTTGCATTCTGTTAGTTAACTACAAAAAATGGTTCTCATGTGACTATCATGTGCTTGTTAAACATGAGAAAAGGACAAAATGGTTTCACAAATTAGGAAAAGAATAGTTTAGGGATTTAGAAATGTTAAACATGCACACTACAGTCACATGAGATTTTTTTTTTTTCTGAGATTACTTGATAGAATGCTAATGAAGAGGGCAAAGTGTTGGAATCTGAAAGATTTTTATCACACATGATATTTTGGGATCTAAGTGTTAATATCCCAAAGTATAGGGTGGTAATCTGTAATTTATTCCAAAGAATTTATTATTTATATAATATATATAAAAAATATATGTTATAATTTATATGATATAATAAATGTGTTGTCATTACATAATATTCATAATCAAGTTTTTAAAAGTGACTTAGAAATAAAATTTCTTTGCCCATTAGTTTCCCAGTCAAACAGTTAAATAATTCCAATGTATATTTAGCATCGTAGCCTTTAGAATATTAGGGTAAAGATGGATAGTGGATATGTATTTACACTAGTATATTTGAGAAGAGAGAGTGAGAATGGTGGTTATTGCCTATTGTTGAGAAAGGAAGGAATAACACCTACCATAGAGATCTCTCTCTAGCCCTCTCCATGGTGCCTTGTCACCACCCTTTTAATATCGGTCATCAATTAATGTTTCCATTTTAGTTTAGTTTCTCTCATTAGTGAGATGAGATCACCCACGACACATCCAAACCATGTATGCATTGGGAACACCTCTTTATGACAAGTACTGGTGTGCATGTGGGGCGCATTGTGTGCCAGCTACATTTCCTTATTAAATTAGATAAATTCTTTTGGGAAGGTTTTGAACAATCTTCAATTTCCATATTCCTCTTCCATTGTCAAGCACAATCCGAGTTACATTCAAATCTTGAGTCAAAACCTTGTACAACCCCATTCTTGGGTTGTATAACAGCAACGATTTACATAATTAATTAATTTAATTAGCTTTATTTACATAATTAACAATTAAAATGGTTAACTAAATTATCTTACTTAATTTTTGTGAATTATTGATTTACTTAATTTTCATAATAATTACTTAATTTACATTAATTAATTTTCTGAATTTTTAGCACTTTAAACTTTTAATTTATTAGGTTGCTTAATAAAACTTAGGTTGTAATTGAACTAACTTAGAAATCGGAACTCTCCAGTCTCCAGTCCCCACCCCCAACCATTATCTAGTTTGCAAAACAAAAGTAAAAAGGTGAAAGAATTCTTATTATATACCTCAATCCTTGGAGGATGGTCACCATGATTTCCCATTCCAAAACTTTCTTTGCCATGCTCCACACGTTCTTTAAATAACTCGTATTGTGACTGCATGAGAAACAAATTAAAGGTAGCATAGAAGAATTATTGAAGGAATTAATTTAACCTTTTGATGATTAATATATATATATATATATATAGAAACATGCAGTTGTAAAAGACAATACACCTTCATCTTCTTTCGCTCATCCATGAATTCTCTGCTCAGTAGAAAGCTGCTGCAGTCTTGGTCATGAGACGACGACGAAAAATATGCCCCAGGAGACCTTGGCTCAATCTTGTATTTCCTGCACAAGGGAAGCCAAGACCTGGCAAAGGAAGATGCCTCGCGAACGGCATACAACGTAAGGGGAGAACCTGCATCATCGGAGAGATACACAGAGAGCTTCTCGGGAGGATAATCGAGGGACATGGCCGACAACACAGTGTCCATCACTTCCACCGTAGGCTCCTTAGCTGGATCAGCAGTACAAATGAGAACATCGATTGCCGGAAGCTCACTGTCTGGAGGTAGTCTCTCCGGGAAGACAGTCCGAGACGACACAGGACACCACAGGTAGGATTGCCAGAGCAGCCAAAGAAAGGAGAGCATTAGCTCAGAAGCAAAGACAAGAGCCCAAGCCAAGATGGGTATGTCGTCGTCTGGGTTGCTGCTCTTGCTCCCAACTGCAAAGAGTACCGAAGCCCTGTAGTAGAGCAAGGCAAGTAGGAAAAGAAAGTGAATGAGAGTGTGAATCCTGTTGATGATTGCTCGGTGTTTCTGAACATGCCTAACGTGAAGCGGGAGGTTTTCCATTTCTTCACTCACTCTAACTGTTATAGCCCATACACCTTTAATTTATTCTTTCTTATCAGGAAGGAAGGGTCATTATCTATCCCACCTCGCAGCTGCTAAGGCCATCTTTGGTTCACTGCTTTAAGCCAATGAGGCCTCATTGTTTGATTACAAAATTCTGGGCCACATTTTTTTTAGAATGAAAAATCAGCCCATAGTACAAAAATTGAGGTAGCCTGCAACATGAAAAATAATCATGCCCCATCTTTCTCATTTTCATTCTTTGAGGAAACTATGCCTAAAAAAATCTTTTTCCATGTTTACTACTGGACTACCATGAAAATACTTTTATGAAAGTACTTTAATAAAAGTACTTTTACACGAAAGCACTTAAATAAAAACACTTTTACACGAGAACACTTTTATGAAAGAACTTTTACGAAGTACTTTTATGAAAGCACTTTTATGGAAGTACTTTTAAGAAAGCATTTTTGTAAAAGCATTTTTATGAAAATACTTTTATAAAAGCACTTTTACTGAAGTACTTTTATAAAAACACTTTTGTAAAAGTACTTTTATAAACGTAATTTTACAAAAGCACTTTTACAAAAGTACTTTTATCAAAGCACTTTTACAAAGGACACATGTTAGTCTAAAAAATTTTCATTTTTAGGAAAAAAGCATTTGGTTCATAGCAATATTTTCCCATTCTGCCTATTTTTACCCATTCTTATGATCTTGTCCATTTTAGAATTTCATCTTGGGTAAAAATGAAAAAGAATGAGAATTAAACCAAATATGGCCTAAGATGCTGCAATGGATCTAGTCAGTCCTATATATGAAGGCCGGTTATATAGCCAGTCTTCACAAGACTATCCAGGTTTTTGGCCGAAAATCTTTGTGAGTTGTGATCGGTCCCATGAACACCAGCCATTTGGACTAGACCCTGAAAAGCTAATTCAACACCAGGGACAAGAATATGCTTAGTTTTCTTTCCGGTAGAATTTCTCTCTCTTCCTTGGTTCCCTTTTCATCCATTTCCCCCAAAGGTATAGCTGTGAATGAGCTACTTGTATCATTTCATTCGCCCTTCTCTTGTTTTACTCTAGACCAGTTTGGACCAAGGGAGAAATAAGAAAGAAACAGAAAATTGAGAGAAAGTTCTCAACAAAAATTACAAAATTTGTGTTATTTGCACTTTTCTTCTTATTTTCTATCAAACCAAACATAGCCTAAAGGTTAATGTACAGAAAAAACGAAAGTTTATTCCAAATGTGTGTTGTCAGAAGAAAGTTTGTCTAAAACTTATAAATACATTCACCAACATCACCATCTCAGCATCTCTTTATTATGTCATGAGTTATCACTTAAACTGGACAAATATCAAGATAAAATTAAATTGGAAGCAATAGTAAAGATGTGTGTGGCTTAAAGACATGCCTTTCAATTTGATTTATTAATGCAAATATTCAAATAGTATGAGATCCTTCCAAAAGTCAAAGCAATACCAAATATTCTTTGGAAGAAAGAGCACACAGGTCATAAAAGTTAAATCTAAATACCATATATCATATATAGTTAATACTTATTTATACACGTGCATAATACCTATTCTTATACTAATTTTCTTAAAACTTATCACAACAATAATTAATTAACACTGACACCAAAAAAACAGCTAATAAAAGAGGGAATTGATGCCAATACAAAAAAGTATACTTAGATAACAACCCACACATGGAATTGAGTGTAGTGCAGAACGCACAACATGCACAATCACTAATTTGGAGATGACTGCCTTCCAACTTTCAAGTTATGGCTTGTGTTAGCTGTGGAAAAAAGGAAATTCCCTCAACTTGCTCTGGGGTGGACGTCTACTACTATTGATCGTCCATTTTTTAGGTCAAAAGACCAGAGAAAACACCTGTTTAGTTATAAATCATACTGATAGCACCTCAGCTAAGGGTGTCAATTGGATTGGACTTGGTCCAATCCAATCCAGTCCAATGTGAGTCCATTACAAATAGACCAGGTCCAATCCAATATAATCCAATGAATATTTTGAACCATTTTGGACTGGTCCAATTCTATGTCTGAATCATCCAATCTATTCAAATTTATTTTAATTTAGATTAATTCCAGCCCAAACCTGGTCTATTGACACCTCTATTGTAATCTTCTATCAATGGACCAGATATTGGCTCAATCCAACCCAATCCAATATAAATTCATTATGGATGGATCGGTCTAATCCAATCCAATAAGTACTTTGAACCATTAAGTCTGGACTGGTCCAATCCAATATCTCTTTTTGGTCCATCCAATCCGTTCAAATTGATTTTGGTTTGGACGGGGTCCAATCCAAAACTAGTCTACTCACATCCCTAACCTCAGCCAAACAGGAAGGCATGCATGTTCAATCACCAATGAAGTGTAAGAGTGAGAAATCAAGGGAGAACATGACGAGCACTGGGGTGGACGGCCTTGTTACAGCACCGAGGGATGAACTTCACTTCATCGAACAGTGGGAGAGGTTTTGATTTGAAAAATGGTTCTGCAGTCTGCAATGATGTTACAAGTTCGCCAAGGGGGGATCATACTCTCGTCTCCCCAACAGAGTGTTTATCATGTTTTGTACATCACCCTCTATTTGAAAATTCTGCTGTAGAATCAATTTGAAAGTAATAGAGTCCAATCCATCCAGGACTCTGGATAGACTCTGGGCAGTTCTCATCCCTATTCCCTTGCATCTATAGATAACCTTATCTTGTTGTAATCTCTTATTTTTCTGTAATTTAAATTCAAATGTAACAACCCCAATATTGTATATAAATACAATATCATAGCAGCCGAACATTAAAAGCTACTAAATTCATCTTCCACACAAAAGCCTTTTATGGTATCAGAGCTAGCAAGGTTGCACAGCCATGTCGATAAGTCACTCTTCAACAATAACTAGGTCCTCTTCAACTCAGCCAGTGAACACTATTTCACTCTCCAACTTTGTAAATCTAGTCACAGTTCGACTGGATCGCACCAATTATTTTTTATGGTCTGCACAAGTAGTTCCAGCATTGCGGGGCTATAAACTTCTTACTTATATTGACAGTTCCTTCTCCTGCCCGTCACAGTATCTTGAGGAATCCTCCTCTACAACTTCTACAAATGACAGGGTTCTCAATCCCCAGTACTCAACATGGACAAAACCAGCTAATCTTGAGTTGGTTGCTATCCTCTATGACAGAGCCAGTCTTTGCCCAGGTGGTGGGATGCAACACTTCTAAATCGGTATGGGATTCTCTTAACCGTCTTTTTTCTTCCACTAGCAAGGCTAGAATACATGATCTAAAACTTGAATTAGCTCATGTGACCAAGGTGAGCTAAATGCTAATGATTATATCCAAAAGATTAAAGGACTTGCTGATTCTCTTGCTGCATCCAATTATAACATGTCTGATTCAAATTTGATTCATTATTTACTTGGCGGTTTGCCATCTGATTATGATAACTTTGTTCTTTCTATTACCACAAGAATGGATGAGTTCACCCTTACAGATGTACAAAGTCTTCTCCTAGCCTATGAAAACGATTAGAGAAGCACCATAATACTCATTCTTTAGAAACAGGCTCTGCTAATCTAGGAAAGAAGACCAAGGATTCCTATTCCAAACATTCAGCACCATCTGCATTTGTAGGAGAGTGCACGTCTTCTTTTGTTTGGCATTCTCATTTGGGCCACCCCAGCACCAAAGTTACTAAACATGTGATCTCTAATAATCAACTTTATTGGGAATTCGTCATGTACTGGGAATTCATCATGCGATAGGGAGTCGTACCTGAGGACTCTAATTCAGGTTTGGCTTGAGTGTGAATGGGGTCTTTCAAACATTGAGCAGTGTAGGTCACGTAGGGCTTCAACAAAATAGACGGCGTGCGATGCCGATGTCCCCTACCAAGTTGCTCCTCTGGTGTCGTTTGTGGTGTTGGATCCACACTAATTCTGTCTTCACTGCCATTAGTTCCCACTTCCTGCACACTCTCTTCATCTCCATGCTCCTCCTCTCTTCCATCAACATTATTTTCAAAGCTCCCCCTATCACAAATGTCGGCTGCATCACTCCCCCTGTTTTTATTTCCTCTGTGGCTATGAAGAACATCATCATCAACCACGGTATCAATTGGTTCAATGGTTGGGCCAAGGTTGTCTTCCAGAGTTGCTTTTAGATTAGTGGCATATGGAAATACATTCTCATGGAAGACTACATCACGGGAGACAAAATATTCACCTATTTCAACATCATATACGTGCCAACCTTTCTTTCCGTAGGGATAACCTACAAAAACACACTTCATACTCCTTTTCTCCAAACTTATCCTTGTCTCGAGGACTCCAATGAGCATAGCAGAGACAGCTAAATACTCTCATTTGCTCGTATTGAGGTGGCGTCCCGAACAGTACCTCATACGGAATCTTCCCGCCAAGTACAGAAGAATGTGTCATGTTTATCAAGTATCCGGCGGTTAAGGCACACTCCCCCCAAAAACCAATGGGCAGGCCTGATTGAAATCTCAATGCTCTCGCAACATTCAAGATATGTCTGTGTTTTCTCTCCACCCGACCGTTTTGTTGCGGTGTCTCAACACACGAAGTTTGATGCAGAATGCCATGAGTCTCAAAGTATGATTTCAAGCTTTTAAATTATGTTCCATTATCACTTCAAACAATCCCTCCTTCAACGCCAAACTAAGGAGTTGCAGAACGAAACCCTGTTCGAACGGAATACCTATGCAGCTTCGGTGCTTGACGTGCCAAACAACCTGGGTTTCTCCTCAACTAGAAGCGGACCGCCTTCCTCCCACCGAAGTTCGGCCAGTCATTGTAGCATCTGACGACAACCTGGAACCTGTGCGATCAGATAATCTCTCCCACCGAAGATCTTCTTGGAGAGCATCATCCGCGGCGCGGTCACCTACACTGAATGTGCTCGATGGAAGACTGTCATCGCTATGGATGTCGTCTA